AACTGCCTGGCATCCGAAAGCATTTCAGTCAGAGATCACTCATCAGACAAAGACTCAGCTTGAGACCCTATGAATGTGCATTTCTTTTGCCTTCACATTTCCTCTCCCTCCCCCACTAACCCAATTTAAAGAACACTTGACCTGGGATGTTTCTTGCACAAAGGCTCTGAGCCTCGGCTGGCACCCCTACTGTGGAAGTCCTCTACTTGGCATTGGCTGTCAGATATGAGCCAGGGTTCTTTCTTGTTGCGGTGTGCCCTGAAAATGCTGATTTGTATTTGCTTCTGGAAGGGAGACAGATGAAGCTTGTTTTAGAATATCAGGTTAATCCAATTTCAGAATCCATTGCACATGGAAAGATGAATTCTGTTACTTTCACTTAATCTGGAAGGTTGCCTCTTTTCAAACTTATAATCAGTTGCTAGAAGAATGAAGGCCTTTTATTATGTTTCATGAGCTTATGCACCCCCATGTTGAATGCCTTTCATTTCCTGCGGCAGGAATGCATGCAGTATTGATATAGTGGCTTTGAGGATTTTTACTGGGCTTTGCAAACATTCTCTCATGGCCCTTGCAAAGTAGGTGCCAGGTGTTGCTGACTAATTATTACCATATTGCCTGACACACTTAAAAGGCCCTCAAGCATTGCTGAATGAATGATTGAGCAAATCCTTTCTAGCCACTGGAGCCTATGCTAGTTAATAACTGACTGAACCTCACTCAGTTTATAGGAATATATTTTTAGAATATTATATGGTTTATACGTTTTCACACATTCTCTAAAAATTATTTTGTGTTTTACAGTTGTGGAAATGAGGTTTCAAGAGGCTAACTTCAAAGTTACACGATGATGTTTAATTTTCTGACCTCAGGGTGTCCTTGTCAAAATAAAAGCAAATATTAAAAAAACACTTGTTGAAAAAAAATTTCTCAAGTTGTGTAAGCTAAAGCTTTAGGTACTAAAACAAACATGGCAGAAGAAATTACTTATCATAAAAACTCAAAGCACTATTATCTGTACTTTGTAGTTTGCAAAGCATTTTCTCACATGATCTGATTTGATCCCCACAACGCTACCTCATTGGAGTAAAGTCATCTCACTTCAGGTTAGCCGACTAACGGCAACAATAACAAACTGTCCCAGATTTTCTTTTCCAAGTCAGGTCAGGCTGGCAGTTAAGGACTGAGTTTCTTGCATACTCATGCCATCTACTGGTACTTTTTTGGTAGCATGGGTTACAGCTGATTTTACATTAAAAAATATTTTTTCTTCAGTGTCAACTTCACAGCAGGACTTGAATGTTTTACTGGGAGTCCTTAAAAATAACCCCTCCCGATCTTTGAAACTTGTTTTCTAAGGAGCCTACTCTAAAACAGGACCCAAGACTTACTTAGGTACTGAAATTCTTATTCTCTCTGGCATATTGAAGGTTCTAGAAATGCCTCTGAGCACCTTTCAATTGGCTTAGAACTTAGGGGAAGGGATATGGCTTAGCCAGGGGCAGAGAACACTCATGGAATTATCATTCGTTCATAGGAAGGCCTCAACTTGGCCCAGTATTTCCTGGGAAGGCTACAGGTAGAGAGAGTGGGTTAGTTGACAAGGTAGTGAGGGACTCTATTGTGACTCAACAGTTGGCAGAAGAGGAAATTCTGGAGAACAGATGAAGCCAGTCCCCTGAATGGGGCGCACGAGACTGGCTTCTCAAACTGCACCCATTCCTGAAAACCTCTGGCCAATCCTCAGGAACACAAATACCTCTTTCAAGGCTGGGCTTTGCTCTGGATATGTTTTTTTGAATTATTAGGTTAAATTTGTCTTTGCTTTAAAACCAAGGACAAGAGATGACTTGTTCTTTAGGACAAACTGGCGGAGGAGAATTAAAATGAGATGATTTGGTATATAAACCATGTTTCTCACAATCTTAGGAGTCTTTAAAAACTAGAATAACAATATAGCAGTAGTGTGAAATAGGCTGAGACAAACACAGGACAAAATTTCGTATGAAAAGTAACTAGAAGAAAATTTGGTATGAAAAGTAGTCAATATCTATTAGTGGAAATTCTTGCAGGGTTCTTTGGGAGGAAAATGGAGGCTTTTATTTTTTTGCTTATTTACATTATCATTGAAATTGTAGTCAGTGAACCCTTTTCTATTCTTTTCCTTCTGCTCCATGGTAGGAGAAAAATAGGAACTTTGAGGATGTTTGAAAGCAAAGTAAAATGTCTATTGCAGATTATGAAAAGTTCTTTATGGCAAAAGGTCAAGATGGTAACATATGATAAACAGATTTCATGCCCTAATTTGCTTAAAGGTTTAACAGTAAATATCAAGACCAGTAAGAATTTAAAGAACTTTGAAAGCATTCTGGTCATTCTCTAACTTAGAGCAAAATTTTACATTACTGTAAAGGCTACTAGGCTCTAGAGCAGTGGTTCTCAACCTGTGGGTCGTGACCCCTTTGGGGGTCCAACGACCCTTTCACAGGGGTCGCCTAAGACCATGGGAAAACAAACAGATATTTACATTACGATTCATAACAGTAGCAAAATTACATTATAGAGTAGCAACGAAAATCATTTTATGGTTGGGGGTCACCACAATATGAGGAACTGTATTAAGGGGTCGCGGCATTAGGAAGGTTGAGAACCGCTGCTCTAGAGGCTTGTCAAAATCAACGCAAAACAGGATAGGCTGAAAAGCTTTGGAAAGCAGTATTTTTAGATAAGCTGCTTCATTTCCTCCCTTTTAAAACACAAGCAGATGGATTCTGCATGAATACACTGCAAAGGGTTGTTCAGGGTTACTAGAGTAGGTACCCCACACGTATACACAATTAACAGGCTTTTAGACCAAATATTCACTGTCTTAACAATCATTTAAGATAGGGCTTGTTTTCATAAATCCTACTTGCATAAACTAGGTTTCAGAGGTTAAATCAGACGCTTCCCAAAGTCACACAGCCAATAGATCAGTCGGCATTGAAGACAGGTCTTAGAAGTCTAGCGCTCTTTGTAGAAACTTTGCTAGGGACTTTGCCTCTCCTTAAAAGTTTATCTAACTGTTGTGTTTGTCTTTTTTTCTTTTTAAAGATTTTATTGGGGAATTGGGGGAGGGGAACAGACAAGTTGCTGTTATTTTTTGTTCTTCAGTCTAGTTGTGGAGGATGTTGCTTCACTGGCCCAAGTTGGCACCACCATTGCGCTCCTCCCGGGCGAGGCAGATCAGTCGCCGGCTTCTGGACGGCCGCTCACTGCAGCTGCTGGCCGCTCCCGCTGGCTGCCGGCTACACGCTGTAGCTTATGGCAACCCACTGCAGCAGGGGCTGCAGCCTATGCCATAGCTGGCGACCCATGGCAGCCCAGCTCCAGGTCGAGCTGCCATTCACCATCTTAGCTGCAGAGGGCAGTGTCACTGGCCCTCATATGTGGGATCCAAACCAGGGGCCTCTGGCATCCCAAGCCAGTTCTTAACCAACGCACCACTCGGCCGGCCCTTATACATTTTTAAGTCAAATTTTTAAGCAGGTGGAAATCATATTAATCTGTTTTTCTTATTCATACTTCTTAGCTGTGGGCCTCTTATAACAAACACTTACTTTTACCAGGTTGGTAATACCACAACCATACATTATTTTGAGTTTGAATTTCCTTTTGAATAGGAAATTCTCAAGTATTAGCAGATACGTTATCACTGCAGTTCGGCAAAAAAATCTGGATTTCTTGGCTCTACTCCAAGACTAGTTCAGTATTAGGGGACCCCCAAGTGGTCGAATTGAAATGATTTTAAAAAGCTAAATATGTAAAGTGATGCTCAGGATCACAAAACCCTTAAAGGTGCTTTTGAAATGTACATTTTATGCCTAAATATAGAAGTTCCAATATTTTAAAATAAAGAAGCCATACATTTCACACACAATTTAAAATGGGTATCCACCCTCATTTCCTTAGTTCTGCTTTATTTTTATAACAGATGTCTTCATATCAGTGCTAAGCACTAGCCTAAGTTTTTCAGTTTAATCTCGCTCTATTCCCAATGCATACCTTCCCTAGAAGAGTTTGGATTTTATATGGCCCGTAATAGGAAGCTGGTCAAACATGCAATCAGTGGAAATATGTTTAAGCTGTGAGATACTCTAACTTGTGGAAATGCATCATTATAAACATGCCTCTTAATATTTTATAATCAGTAAATTTCTCAATCCTGCCAAATCAAAAATTACCTGTAGACAGATTTAGGCCTGGGCTGGGGAACTTGCTCTGCATTGAAATATCCCATGACTTTTATGAATAGGTAAATTTAGAAAACAGACATGGTACTGCTATTTTTCTCCTCCAATCTCAAAACACCCACTCACAACTGTCACTTAAATCACTACAAAATCGCTAACAACGTTTTAACCCAGAGTATTCACTTTAGGTCCCCTTTTAAGTACTCATGTTGTTGAAGATCAAAACAAAACAACTTACGGTCACTGTCCCCTAAAATTAAGAGGAAGGATTCTAAAATCTTCAAAGGAAAAAACATTAACATGTACACCCTTCAGTAACCCACTTATTATGCAGCATGTTCACCTGTACTTGTTATCTTTCCATCCCAAAGCAAGGTCATTTCCAGTAGTTGTTTCCCATCTCACGTGAACAATGTGTTTGCTTCAGTGTAAAGAATCCAGTCTGAATGGATCTTCCATATTGCTTGCTGTGGTACCTGCCGCAGTCACCTCCAAGTCACCCTAGCAATATGCCATTTTGTTCATATATACGAAACTGTAGTTGTCAGTGTCTGAGGCAAAATCATCTCAGGGAAGTTAATATTGGTGAACTCAGTATCTCCTAGTGTAAATTAGGTATGGTTAACTAAGCCAGAATGTCACCTGGCTGCCAATTTGAAGAAAGCTATAGCTACTCAAAGGTATGATGTATGTGTTTATAGATAAAAACTATGACAAGATTATTACTAGACAAGGATCAGTGGAAAATAAGTAGCAGTATTGCACCAATGCAAGATAAAATATACTTTATTGTGACAGCAAATGCACATAGTGCTATAGGTAAGGCATGCTACTAGGAATCGGCATATAATCAAAGGCCGGTATGGAAATGAATGGGAATGAATGTTTCTTAATGCTTAAAAGATTTAGTCCATGGTGAAAGACAGAAGAATTTGTGTCCACTCATCTCAAATGCAGTATTATACACCTAATCAGATCCCTATACCTCTAACCAAGAGCCCAAAAGCAAATAAGAGAAACTTAACTGTACTCAGAAGAAACTTTTAATATCAGTGACAGAAAGATTTTGCTAATTGAGGCAAATTTCCTCTCTAAACAAAGACCTAAAAACTGAGCACTCAAACATCCATTCATTCATTTAAATTAGCTAATTTTAACATCGTTTATTCCACTAGAAACAAATGTCAGACAATCTAGAAATAGTTTGGATAAAGAAACATTTTCATTTTAATAATTCATAATGTTGCGAATTTGGGGCTAAAATAACACCCTGAGTCAAATTTGACCCCTGTCTACTTGAAGGGACCAAGTACAGTTTCAATTTCAATAGCTGAATTTCTTAGGGAAGATCTGAGAAAATAATGCTAATGAGAGCTAGTCCTTTGATGGAACTATTAGGTTCTAAAGACTTGTCAAAATCAACGCAAAACAAAGGATAGCCTGAAACACAAAACTGAGGCTAGGCTGAAATGCTTTGCAAAGCAGAATTTTTAGAGAAGCTGCTTCGTTTCCCCCTTCTTTTAGAACCACATGCAGATGAAATGCTTTCTGCATGAGTGCACATTGACATTCTGTTCAACTGTTTTCTAAATACAATACTGTGGGTTTAAACAGCATGTTTTAATTTAAACAAAGTAATATACAGTCAATTTAGCTTAAGCGATGAAAAGAAACACTAGTATGGAAATTACTTTGTAAATACTCTGCTCTTTGAAACGGTGTTTTTAAAAGCAACACAGGAACAAAAACATCCAACTATCACTTTATTTATATTACTATGCTTAAGTTACATGGAAAAGACAACCAAGCAGTTCTGCCCCATTTCAGGAAGTTTCCAATCAACACCAATTATGTGGTGACAAATAACTAGGAATGGTGACATCTCTGGGTCAAGACTGACAAGAAAGAATGGGCTCGGGTGCTACGGTTCATCTCCAACAAGAATATGGCACAATGGCCAGCACAAGCCATACTAACACTGAACCTTTAGCTCTGGTCACAAATTCGGATCTCTTCTCTGAAGCTAGCAAATCAAGTGAAATAACTGGGGTTAAAAAAAAAAAAAAGTTTTAAAATGAAGCCCAAATAAGTTTAAAAACCATGCTCTTGACACATTTTCCTTTCAAAATTTACATAAAACACACTTTTCACTCTAATAGCCCAGATTTTTTTCCTCACATAGCCACCATGTAGCTGCAGATAGACTATTCTGCCTCAAGGTGTAAACATAGGGAAAAAAAAATTAACGGCATCTGCATAATATTCTCTCTACACACTGCTGTTGGATGGAAAATAGGAAATTGAAAAAAAGAAAGAAAGAAAGGTTCCCTCTTAGATTCTCACAACCTCTTGTTCCGCAGTTCATGAATCCGACTCTGATGCTAAGGTGACAGTGTATGTAAGTAGATTTTTGTTTTCAGTGAAGGAGACCTGGGAAAAGATGGAGTTATCTCTTATTCTTCAAGAGTTATCAGATGGTACATGCTCCTCAAACCCCTCACTCTCTCGAACTAGAGCGCGTTCCAAGATCACACGGCCTTCCTTATAACGCTGGCTGTCTTCAGTAGCAAACTCATAGATCCATCCCAGTTTGCTATTGCAGTTTTTGCAGCTCACATCCCGAACCATGTGGCGGCCAGTGAGCATGACCCGGTCTTGAACTTCACTGTACTGCAGGTTAACTACCTAAGAGACATGTGAAAAGAAAATTGCAAAAGCATGTAAATTATTTGCCACAAAGTATACAATATTTGGTTGACGCAATAACAGCAACTTCAGAGAAGGAAACAGCAGTTGTTACTTCAGTCAATACCCTTCCCAAGGGCTATTTTTAAAAGCTGCTGGGACAGGTAAACCTGGAATCACACTGCACTGGACATCTAATGCGATCACGATCATGCATTATTGTACAGTCCAAGCCACACTATACATTATCAGTTACATTTCTGTGTTATAGTGAAGAGTCCTTGACTTGGAGTCACAAAATGTAGGTTTGGGTCCAACTGTTGTTATTCACCATTCAATGATGAGTGCAAACAAGGCAACTAATTGAACTAGGTAAAAGAACCTAGTACATGACAGGTATTACATTAAAAAGTTTGCCAAATTTGCTTCTGAAAATACATTTATATATAAGACTGGGCTAGACTAAGCCTATGATAGACCATACATTGCAATATATCGCTTTCAAGTGGGTTCAAAGAATCTGTGAAGAATTTTCAATGATTCTGAACACCAAACAATCCTCTATACTTTACTTTTCTGTAAAAGGCCAGATAGTTAATATTTTTGGGCTTTGAGGATTACATGGTCTTTGTTGTATTTAGCCTGCTGCTGTAGCACAGAAGCAGCCACAGGTAACACATAAATGAATGAGCATGGCTGTGCCTCATTATATTTTATTTACAAAAATCAGGCAGCTGGCTTGCCGTACTACAACCAAGTGAGAATCCCTGCTCTATACCTAAATAAAGATCAAGGGGGTGCACACTATCAATTCTTTGAGAGAAAAACTTGTTTCAAAATGGAACTGGAACAGAGGGGTGTCCACTGAGGAAGTTTAGTTGACCTTCTAAGAGCCAGTACCCTTGCACTAGTTCTGTTCCTTAGCCTGAAAGATACAAAACTCCACAAGGCAAAAATCACATCAATCAATTTCAAAGCAAGCCAGAAATTAGACAAGCAGGCAGACTAGACATTTATTTGTAAATCAGGAAATGCTCTTCCTACTGGCAAACCTATGTCATAAACTAAATCATAATCAGAAAGATGATTGGTGAGCATAAATTAGAGCCAAGGGAAGCTGGTTACACGATTCTTACTCACTTGCATTGTTAAGCTACGAGAGCTTAATGCAGCTATCTCCCTATTAAGATAAATCAGTGACATGGGTATGGAGGTGTCTCAGCCCCTTTTCCCACAGTCTGTGAAGTCATTACCAAATTCTTACAATGAATGTTTTCTGAATGGAAATCACCATTATTATAACAGTCTTTATACTTCCAAGATTGACAATCACATTCTAGTAATATCTTCCTGAGGTCCCGTCAATGATAAGCTAGTGGGCAATTATTTCTATAGCTTGCAGCTCTCCTTCTGACTCTTCCTGGTATCTCCAAGCTCTGAGGGATATTCTGGTACTGCTGTCAAACATATCCACCACTGAACCCACTTAGGAAATGAATCCAGTTTCCCCACCAACCTTGTTAAAAAGAAATGCTCTCCCAGTGGCGCCTGTGAACCGAGTGGAGATGAGCTCTGAGCGGTTGGTCAGAATCGTATCACAGTTTGCACAAGAAAACAGACGGGTACCACCAATATGATCAAGGAAAATTCTGCCCATTTTTATAGCTGAAGTTCTAAAAACCTAGAAGCAAATGGAAAGAAATGCATTATGATTAAAAAAGTTTTTGTTAGTATCTACTTGGTTGGGGGTCATAGAGAACCATTTACTCAACATGTGAAATAGCTGACTCTGAACAAAAGGACCCAAAGCTCACACACTGAACAAATAAATAGGCACATACAAGCTAAGAACATTTTAGAAACAGTGAGCCAAGGAAATAAACATGCTTAGGCAGGAAATGAATGGTATCGCTTCTCTTTTGGTTGGTATGGAAAAAAACAGGAAAAAATTAGAATACCAGAAACTGAATGATGAAAAGCACAGGCAAAGAGGTGAGAAAAAAGGTTTAGCTTAAGTGTTAAGTATGCATGCTGAGTATGTGTAATTTGAGAAAAGACTTGTGGGGGGCATGAGTGACATGATCAGGTAAGAGTAGAAAAGGGGGCAATCAGAAAACAAGAGGACAGTCTGGTTTGAGAGCATGGGGTGAGTGGGTTTCTGATCACCAGGTGCATCTGCACCCACATAGGGGTGATGGCACTAACATTAGTAACTTTGAGTCTGTGGAGCACTGTACTAGGTGCTGTACTTAGTTCAAAGTCATCTTAACTCTGAGGTTATTGCCCCACTTCATAGATTATCCAAGGTTATTCACTGGTCAAAGTTTACACAGCTTTCAAGTACAGAAAGTCATAACTGGAATGCAGTTCACCCAATTCAAAGTCAAACTCCTTCCATTACCCTATACTGTCTTCTCTAAGAAGGTGACACACAAGATGGTCCACGCTTGGCATAAGGCTAAGAAAACAAGAACACAGAAGAAGGGAAAGCTGAACCATTATTACATAACTTATATTTTAAAAATCGTACTGATGCAATAGGTCACAGAAGTGCTGAAATATTGGGGGGAAAGCTCTGAATCCAACTTCTGAAACAAGGATAGTCAAACTTAACTATTTCAAAAGTCAGAAGAGTTAATGTATGCAACTAAGTTCACAGCAATTAATCCCCTCAAACAGTATTTTTAAAGATCTAGATATAGTCAAGAATACACTATAGTTTTCATTTGAAAAAGAATTTATTCCTGGTGTAGTTATCAGCTTCTGTGTTTTAAATATTTAATATTTCATGTCTTTAAAATGGCATGCAGAGCTGATACAGCTGCCACTATGAAAAGAAATCCATAATCTATGTTTGTAATAAGAATCCAGTCATCTTAAATTTGGGGAAATTCCATTACAAATTAAAAAGGAATTTCCATTCCTTCTTATATCTGTGAACTTCCTCAGCCATTAGGCAGTCCTAATGTCATCAGAAATGTCATTATCATGCAGATTATTATGACTGCCATTAAACATTATGATAGGAGATTTAATAAGCAATGAAAAACAAATGGTGACTATAATTACAATTTGTAGCTATCAAAAGGAAAACCAGTGCATTAACATAGAACATCAATGAATAAACCCTGGGTAAAAACATGACTTAAGAAATAATGTTTAGCTTTCTGATTACATTTCTGCAAAATGACAGCAATAGGTAAGACTTACTGTCCATTGTTTCAGCCTTTGAGACAATAGCATTCCTTTTTCCAGATGCTTAAGAACACAATACTGTTACATAAAGATCAGAGGTTGCAAATTTACAGGTTGGATTCATTTGGTGGCACAGGGATAGAATGGTAAGTGAACAAATAACCCTTCCCTCACAAAACATATGTGGACATGTTTTGTTTGGCCCACAAAGTTTTTTATTCTTAATTAAAAAATTGCGAAATTTCATTATAGAGCCTGCATGTGGTTTTTTGTTGTTGTTGTTGTTGTTGTTGTTTTAAACAATAGGAGACCTGGCAACACGGGGCATGTATTCTCACATGGCAACAACCGACTAGAGTTGAGTGGTAGCTGAAGCTTTCCCTGCAAGGTCATTTCATTTGCTCGGTCTCCACTTGGCATCACATAATTACTTCACCTGTAAGACATTTAAGTTTATGACTCTTGATATACATAAAGCATTCAGAGATCCTGTGAGCAGCTGATTTTGGTCATATTTCTTAATATTGGTCCTTTACAGAAAGGAATCAACAGCAAAGTTTTACAGTCTCACCTCTGTAAGACACAATCCTCATATTCCCTATTTCTCTGAAACGTAGTATTTACGCAGTGATTTAGTCTCAGCTTGGGCTTCTAGGACTCATTACTTTAAAGCCAATTTTCCTTCAAACTTTTAAAATAAAATATTCATATAGTAATTTATTTCAACCACAATGCAGGAGTAACTAGATGTGTTTTGAACTGACCGTGGCAGATACAATGCTACCGTGGAAAATATACTCGACTTCAAAATGAACTCTCCCTATGCCTTCTGCCTGCAACATTCTAGCATCGGTTCCTAACTACCATATAGCTGTGACCATTTGCTGCTAGATATATGCAAGCTCTTTATTCCCAAACGGCGTAAACAGATTTAACACGCTTTCTCTTTCCTCCTTCAAATTCAGTCTATTTTTTACTCTTTTACTCAAGTATTTTTATTGGATTCAATTACACGATTCATTACAGACCAAAAATACCGGTGCAGAATCACCATTCCTAGTTGTGGTTGCCAAATATTTACAGAGTACTATATATGCATATAAAATATACTTTCAGTTTTATTTATTGAGTAAAACTGAAAAATATAGTTTTTATACAAAAACTCTTATTTGCCAAAAGAAATAAGCTAGAAATGCCATGGAATCTGGCAAAAGCCAGCAAAATACCACTTGCTGTGGAAGTTCTGCAGGAAGTAGAAACACCCCTGCAGGGTCATTAGACTCCCAGTGTTAAGCCTTTGCTTTGAAGGGCTAGAAACACAATCTACTACTGACTTACATGATCCATACTCTCAAGGGGCTGATATCCATCAGAATGCCACTTGTGGTTTTTTTTTAAGGTTTTATTGGGGAATTGGGGGAGGGAACAGCGTTGTGGAATCATGGAAGGGGAGCAGACAAGCTGCTGCCCTTTTGTTCTTCAGTCTAGTTGTGGAGGATGTCACTTCACTGGCCCATGTTGGTATTGTGATCACTGCGCTCTTCCCGGGTGAGACAGATCAGTCGCCAGCCGTTGGATGGCAGCTCACGATGGCTCACAGCAACCCACTGCAGCCGGGGCTGCAGCCTACGCTGCCGCCAGCAACTCATGGCAGCCCAGCTCCAGATCCAGCTGTTGTTCACCATTATCTGAAGAGGGCGTAGCGTCACTGGCCCATGTGGGATCCGAACCAGTGGCCCTGCTGCTCAGAGCTCGCGCTCCCAAGACAACTCTTAACCAACGAGCCACTCGGCTGGTCCCGCCACTTTATTATTTAATGGGGCAGGTCATTAAAAACTTTAAAAACAGGTCATTAAGACAATTCCGGAATCAGGCTTCTGTGAACCTGGATGATACACAATGAACTCTACCTCTGGCCTAGTATTTAGTGTCTACACTGTATGGGACACTGCGTTTAGTACTTTATATACCACGTTTTACCTTGATGATTTCTAAACTAGGTATTTATCACCCCACTTTCGTAGAGGGATAAAGATTGTGTGACTTTCTGAAACTGGCCACACTGGGATCTGAACTACATCTTGTTGCAGTTGTTTTCACCCCACTCCCTCTCTAGTGACCAGAGGGCTGCCCGACTCAGTCTTTCTCCCTCAGATTCACCGTGTGCCCCTCCTGCCTCCACGCTGCTCCTCCTGTATGCTCTATCTTAGATAATGGCAATTCGAATCACACACTCTCCTAAACTAAAAATAGAAACCCTGGGAATTTCTTAAAAGAAACTGCAAATTTGGTAATATCTTCCTCCCCCTCATCAGAGTCTTAATTCAAATTAGCACTTCTTGATAAACCTCTTATGGTTAGGGAACGTGTACTGTAATAAATGCAACATACAATCACAGGTGCCACTACATTTGTGCTAAATTAGATAGTGCTACAAAAATAAGGTCAAAGGCCATGTGCTTAAGCCATCCCTTTGTAAGAGCTCATAGAGACCACAAACTTTGAAACTTGTTTTCTGACAGGCCAGAACATAGCTGATTCTTAAAGAACAAACACAAAAACAGAGTTTTAAAGGAATAACTTACATACCATACAATTTAACCACTGTATGTGCACAATTGAATGATTTTTAGTAAATTTATAAAGTTGTGCCACCATAACCACAAACCAGCTTTAGGATATTTCCATCACCTTCCCCAAATTTCCACAAACCCCTCTACAGTCAATCCCTCCTCCCACCCCCAGCCACAGGCAACCACTGATCTACTTCCTGATTGTTCTACATCTAAAATATTTCTCAGATCTGCTAATCACCTTGCTTGGACTTAGAATCTTAAGATGACTATGTTCTCTGTGTTGATCCTTACTGTGTCCCTAAGTAATACTATGCATGTCTCAGTACTTGTCAGTGTGGAAGTTCCAGTTTATAACCAAAATTAAGGCCAAACTTATCACAGTTAAAGCTTTAAGATGTTTTCTTCCTTTTCAACTTTCAAGCAAAAACAGTCATTTCATATCTTAATTTTTTAAGTACCATTCCCTAATTTTATAAATAGCTTCTTTGGTACTAGCTTTTCTTAGTTTTGGGATATTAAAATCCTTAAAAGGTTGAAATAAGAGAAGTACCAAACTTGGTTGTTTAACAAGCAGTCTATTATCAGTTTATTTGAAATTACTGGAAACAGTGAGGGGCCAGCCAGGTTGAAAATATAAATGAAATTCATACATGATATGTAGATCATATTTTAGTAATTGTTTTCAATTTCCTCCCCCCTTCAACAAATAGCACATTTAGCAACCTAGGATTTTCAATTTCTATTTTAATAGGAGATTCTGGTGAAGCAATCACATTTTTAGGATCTCTAGCTTTTTATAGAATTAAAAAAAATATTTACAGAATCTGTTAAACATAAAGATTTTTCTGTTTCAGAAATCCATGAAAGGCAAAGTATCCAGGAATGTATTCTTTTTAAAATTAGACATAAT